AAAAAAAGGACAGGGCCGGGCAAAGTGGCTCATACCTGTAATCCCAGCACTTTGGGAGGCCAAGGCAGGTGGATTACCTGAGGCCAGGAGTTCAAGACCAGTGTGACCAACATGTAGAAACCCCGTCTCTACCAAAACTACAAAATTAGCTGGGCATGCTGGCACATGCTTGTAATCCCAGCTACTCAGGAGGCTGTGGCAGGAGAATCGCTTGAACCCAGGAGGTGAAAGTTGTGTGAGCCGAGATCGCGCACTGCACTCCAGCCTGGGCAACAAGAGTGAAACTCTGTCTTTAAAAAAAAAAAAAAGACAGAAATCTAATTTAATTTTTTTCAAATAATCAATTGTTTCATTATACCCTCATTCTATCACCATTTTAAAAAAGTATCTTTCTTACATACCAAATTACCACATATACATGGGTTTCATGTGATACCATTAAAAAGTTAATGAAATCCCAGCACTTTGGGAGGCCAAGATAGGTGGATCACTTAAGGTCAGGAGTTCAAGACCAGCCTGGCCAACATGGTGAAACCCTGTCTCTACTAAAAATACAAAAATTAGCTGGGCAAGGTGGCAGGTGCCTGCAATCCCAGTTACTCAAGAGGCTGAGGCAGGAGAATCACTTGAATCAGGAGGAATTGCAGGGAGCTGAGATCATGCCACTGCACTCCAGCCTGGGTGACAGAGCGAGACTTGCTGCAAAAAAAAGATCACTGGGCGCTATGGCTCATGCCTGTAATCTCAGCACTTTGGGAGCCTGAGGCAGGAGGACTGCTTGAGCCCAGGAGTTTGAGAACAGCCTGGGCAATAAACCAAACCTTGTCTCTAGAAAAAATTTAAAAATTGGCTGAGTGTGGCAGTGCATGCCTGTGGTCCCAGGTGGGAGGACTGCTTGAGTCCGGGAGGTAGAGGCTGCAGTGAGCCATGACATCATGCCACTGCACTGCAGCCTGGGAAGAGCGAGACCCTGTCTCAAAAAAAAAAAAGGTTACCAATAATGATGCAGGAAGAGAAAAAACACTGGGCCCTAGAGCGAACACCATCCTTTCTTACCTTACCTCCTACTACCTTCCACTCACCTTGCCCAAAAGCTCTTCAAACTCCGGGGACCATTCCTGCATCAGCGTGTCAATGTCGGGCATGGGCCTAAAAGCATAGAAGTAAACATGAACAAGAAACATCAACTGATAACATCCGCAACCTCTAGATCAGGATATTCTAGGATGAAGGAGAGGTTTCTGGCCCATTAGGAAGGCTTCAGGAGAACCTAGACTGGGCATACCAAAGTTGCCCAGGGCCTGGGGTTTAGAGGAGCTAGCTAAGTAATACCAGAGAAATTACAATCTTTGGGCCGGGTGCGGTGGCTCAAGCCTGTAATCCCAGCACTTTGGGAGGCCGAGGCGGGTGGATCACGAGGTCAAGAGATCGAGACCGTCCTGGTCAACACGGTGAAACCCCGTCTCTACTAAAAATACAAAAAATTAGCTGGGCATGGTGGTGCGTGCCTGTAATCCCAGCTACTCAGGAGGCTGAGGCAGGAGAATTGCCTGAACCCAGGAGGCGGAGGTTGCGGTGAGCCGAGATTGCGTCATTGCACTCCAGCCTGGATAACATGAGTGAAACTCCATCTCAAAAAAAAAAAAAGAAATTACAATCTTTATGTCTAAAATCTCAGCCAGTAGTTGCCAGGATCCACAGGACCTCGCGTTGATCAAATATGTTCCCAGCCTCTGGGCCTCTTCTCAGAAGCAATAGTTCACAGGTGGTGAAAGTTACTATGGGTTACTGTTGTAAAGAATGTGGTATTTCTTACCTAGTGTAGTGCACAGTCGCAGGGGGCTTAGAACGGTGTAACTCAGAGATGCTCTCAATCCACATGTCAATGGCTTTGGGATTCTTTTCTGCATCTTCCAGGCTCTTTACTTTCATATGTTGCTTGGAAAGTAAAGAGAAAGCCTGGCTGACGGCACTGAAGTAGCTCTCTCGTCTTTACAGTGTCTCATTATAGCTGCTGTTGTTTCATATTCAAGGTTGCTGATGATAGCAGCTGCCACATGAAACAGCAGCCAAATGAAAGGGATAGGAAACCCTGATAAAATCTGCTGAAGCCAGGCCAGGCATGGGGGCTCACACTTGTAATCCTAGCACCCTGTCTGAGATAGGGGGATCACTTGAGGCTAGGAGTTGAAGGCCAGCCTGGACAACATAGTGAGACCTTATCTGTACTAAAAACAAAAAAATTAGCCAGGCATGGTGGTGTGTGCCTGTAGTCTCAGCTACTTGAGAGGCTGAATGGGAGGATTGCTTGAGCCTGGGCATGTGAGGTTGCAGTGAACTAAGACTGTGCCACTGCACTCCAGCCTGGGCAACAGGGCAAGATTCTATCTCAAAAAACAAACAAACAAACAAAAAAAACCAAAGCCAAGTGCAGTGGCTCACACCTGCAATCCTAGCACTTTGGGAGACTCAGGGAGGAGGATCACTTGAGGTCGGCCTAGGCAACATAGGGAGACCCGTCTCTATAGAATAAAAATTTTTTAAAAAGCCAGGCGCGGTGGCTCAAGCCTGTAATCCCAGCACTTTGGGAGGCCGAGGCAGGTGGATCATGAGGTCAAGAGATCGAGACCATCCTGGTCAACACGGTGAAACCCCGTCTCTACTAAAAAATACAAAAAATTAGCTGGGCATGGTGGTGCGTGCCTGTAATCCCAGCT